CTCAGATGTACTGCCAGGTGCTTTTAGGGCATTCTTTTCAGTCACATTCTACAGAAAGAAGCAAATATTCATTGCAGGGCAGTAAAGAATGGAATTCAACTGCTCTTAATAAAATGGCGGCCCATCTACAGCAGTAAAAAAGGATAATATAGGGAAGACTTCAAGAGCTTTTCTGCACTTTTTCACATGTCTTGAAGTGTTATTCATTACTTGAGAAATATTTAATATGAGATAGAGATCACCCTAAAGCCATGTGAGGGTACCCTATGCCAAGACAGCAGAATAACATTTACTCTTTCGTTTCTGACTCATTAAAGTTGCTAACTCTGAGTTGTTTCATTCATCCATATCTGAGCACCTGACAACGGAAAGCAAAGCAACACTGAGTCCCTCATAAACCCAAACAATATTTTTAGTTTCCATTGTTCTAAAGGCCATTTAATCCACAGCTCTGACATGAACAGGAACACTTTCCGCTAGACTTGAACGTTGGAGGCATGTTAAAAACTTCTCTGAACAATATCAACCATTTTAAAACAACTCACACACAAAAAATTACTCCTAATCAAAATCTCCCTTAGTTTAGTGGAAAAGAATAGTCTGCTGTCCTATGATCACTGGACGTCATAAAAAAGAGCTTGCCCCATCTTTCCTAAAACCTCATTTATAAATAAATTAAAAAGCCTATGCAGCGGTATAATTTCTTTGTGCTGGAAGACCTACAACACCTTCAGCCCATCTGCACTGCAGACAACCCTCAGTCCACTTCCATGATCCTTCTGGGAACTCTGGCATGTCCATTGGGATATTGGTCCAAGATCCCCATGCAGTCCATGCTCTCACAAAAAGAGTTCAGATGGGAGGAGGGGCCACCCTCGAACCTGCCAGGCAGAGAGCTTGTCATGCAGTGCAGGACAGAATTCCAGCAGCAGGTGCCCATGGGCAGCTCATGTCCCACCTCATCACCCACCAATAGCCCAAAGCACTTCTCTGCAAAGCTCTTCCCTATCCCCCACTCTCTCTTTCAACTGGGGATTGCTCCACCCCAGCTGCAGGACCTTGCACTTTGATCCATTCCATGATGGCTGCACGGGGCCACTTCTCCAGCCCATCCCTGGCTGCCATCTCTGCCCTGCACTGAATCAACTCCAATTGTGTCAGCTGCAAATTGCCTGAAGGTGCCTCAATCCCATTGGCCATGCAGGTGCTGAACAGACCTGGGCCCAGTCAGGGCCCTTGAGGGACAGCACAAGTCCCTGCTTTGCACCTGGACATGGAGCCACTGCCTGTAACTCTCTGCAGGTGACTCTCCAGCCTGTTCCTCAGCCATTTGACAGCCTCCAGCTGATTGCCCAGCATGTTCCTCTGGGGGATGGCCTGGGGGACACTGCACACCTTCTCCCACTGGGCCCTGCTCTGTCCATGGAAACCTTGCCTGGGCTGCCTGCTCACTCTGCACTTGGACAGCTGCAGCACAGATGATCCTGCATGATTACACTACAGACAAAAGGTTCCTGGCTGAGCACACCAGGAGTGCTTGTCAAACCCTTCCTCTGTGCAGCTGGAAACATCACAGCTGGGTGTGGCAACTGCACCTGCACTGGGGCAGCTGGCACACAGGAGACCTTCCACATGAGATCAGACACCCTGAGGCTGAGCTCATGACCACAAGCAACGCAAGACTCAGAAACACATGGAAATGGACGGATGCAATGACATTTTGTGGGTCTGCCTTGCTCTACAGAACCAACTCAGATCCCACTGCACTCCAGCAGGCACAGCCTGGTGTTATCTGTGACATGTGACCAGCAAGGCAATGACCCAGTTCTTCTCTAGCCTCACACACAGAGCTCCCCTCTCTGCTTTTTCTTCCATGCCAGGCCACTGTGAGGTTTTGCTGGTGGCCATCTCCTCACTGCTCAAATCTCTCATGAGATGATAATGCACTGCAGCCACACCCAGAAGGAAGCTACAATTGTCTGCTCACCACTGTTATGATAAGGAACTGAAAGATTCTAGAGCACAAAAATGATAAACAATCATACTAAAAGATCAGCAGGCATCCAACTGAGAATGGCTCATAAAACCATTGACTTTGAGGGAATCTCCTCTGCATCCTTATCACATGCTCTGTTCCACAGAGAGGCAAAGTCTACTAAAGTCATATTCATATCTATTTCAGCCAACAGGAACAGGAAGAAAAGTCACTCTCATATCTCCTGCCTTCCACTCCCACTGCAACAAGAGCAGGGGACATTGGCATATCATATGTTACTAAAAAAAGATGGATTGTTTGCAATAGTAAGTATACTCACCTACTGAGTAAATCAAGGAAGAACAAAACAAAGAAAAAAAAAACACAGAAACCCCAAAAATATGGATCAGACAGGACAAAGAAACATTAGAAGACAACAAGGAGTCAGAGCTGCTCACTGTGAAGTCTTCTAGGCCTTTATTCCAGGCCTTAAAATTCATACCTGAGAGGATGTAGAAGTCATTGGCAGGACTTAGATGGGACAAGAGACTGGTGGGTTCATTTCAAGAATGAATCCTCTCATCAGCAACTTTTTCTATTGCATGGCCTGCTCACCTTGCAGTTATGAAACCATCATTTTAATCAGCTACTCATCAGCCTCTTTCTCAAGATAAATCGACTGAAAAATTACAACAGATTCCCTTATCAGTTCTGCCCTATAGTCCCCACACACTGTTCAGTCTTGAGTGAGAGACTTAAGGATGTGCTGAAAAACCACAGTCACTGTTTCCTATTTAAAAATACTGACCAAAATTGTGGAAAATGACCTGTGGCCTTTTTGGAAACAAAGGCTTGAATGAAAGTGAAATTATAATTCTGAAGAAACTCAATATCATATTGTGGCATAGAGATACAGGTGGATAATGGAGGTTTCACATGGGATTAATTAGCTCTTCCAGCCAACAATTATGGTTCTATGTGAACAGTTACTGTGGAAAATGTTAATCTTGGAGGACTGACATTGTTGTTCATGACAGAGACACCAGGATCAGAACAGCAAGGGCACTGCCTTTCGCACCAAGCATGAACTCAAACCATTTCTCTGCCAAACCCACACTGAGTCCCCCATTTGCCCAGCAGGGAACTGAGCTCTCACCCTCCTCACTCTGCATTCACAGCCTTTACTTTCACCATCATCACAACCTCAATTTTAATTCCATGTTGGCCCCAGAGAAAGCAAGAGCTTGGGGAAACATCCATTCATGAAGTTCTATTTCTTGAATGAAATATTCAAGGTCAGGCTGGCTGGGGCTCTGAGCCACCTGCTCTGGTGGAAGATGTCCTTGCCCGTGGCAGAGGAGCTGGAACAAGAGGATCCTTAAGGTGGTTTGCAGCACCAACCACTCTCTGATTCTCCGTTTCTAGGATAATATGACTACACGTACAGCTTCAAGGGATGCATGAGACATACTCTCCCTACTGGAGAATTATGTTTTGGAGTTTGCAGAATTGCAAGGCACAACGAGGATCAACTCTACTCCTTGACAAAAATACAAGCAAACAAACAAACACACAACCGAACAAAAAACCAAAGCAAACAAATCATCAAAAAAAAAAAAACCAACCCTGAAATCAACCCAGTTAAGAATGGGAAACACCAGAAGAGTATCAATCATGGCCTCACATTGCAGATTGGCTCAACTGCAGGATATACACAATCCAGGAAACTGGACTGGAACCAATACACAGGGGCCTCACACAGGAGTCACTCCACAGGCCCCACACTGTCATTGCCTTGGATACAAAGAGAAAGGAAAAGCTTGGAACCACAGCTGGGGACCTCATCTAAATACCAGGACAAACAGAACTGGACACAATTCATTCATTCATTTTGAACTGTATCCCACTGAACTCCAGCACCAGCCCTGTCTCTGCATACACAGACTTCTCTCTGCCAAAACATAACATGACAGCAAATTTTGCATACAGACATCATTAGAAGAAAAGTTGTGTGCAGAGCTTCTCAGAGCCCAGGCATCACAACTAACATTATTCTGCTCCTCCATATTACTTCTACAAGTGGGAAATGTTATATAGGCCGTAAATTATTTCCAGCTCTGTCAAAGACCCACACATCCAAGTATCACCTCAAAGGCAACATCACCATTCTTCAGCACATGGACTCCTCAAAGCATGTGTGACTACCACTCTTGATGCAAAGGAATATGGAACCCAAACTGGGCCATTTCAGTCCAAACCACACAAGGGAATATCATAAAACTCCTCCTGACTCATTTTCAGAAGGCCAGCAATAGCCCTTGGGATCAACAAAACACATGCCATGTCTGCACCAGGGCCTCCTCACACACCACACAACGAACACTCCCACATAAACCCGTCACAGCTCCCATGGTTAGCAGAGACCTGCAGAATTTAGAGAGACTCCACCAAGAGGAACGTTGATCAGACAATATCTCCTTACTACTGATAATATTCGACATCTCACCCAGTCATGGGACAAGAAAAAGCATTAATTAAAGAGATATTCTCAAGAAACATCGCTAAGGAAGTCTCTCTCTTTTCACCTATAAACATGAAAGAACCATCTTCAGATGATCAGAAGAATGAGACAGAAAGTTAACTGCAGAACTGAAGTGCTCCCAACACTCTTCTGGGTTATATAAGTCACAGTAGACGATTGATGTTGATGTTTATAGGCACTGAATACACAGCTTGCAATTCCCATACCCCATCTTTCAAAAGTACAAAATTAAGCTTTGAAGTGACACCATTGTGATGACGCTGAAATACTTAGCAACATCCTTCCAGGGTTCTTCTCCATGCAGCTGGAATAGAGATCTTCTAGACAATTACTTGGGGAAGAAGAACCTCACATGGCTTCATCCCAGAAGTAGGAAATGGAAAGGGAATGGAGGAAAACATTCCGTTGAGTCTTTCAGCAGACATTCACACACAGCTCACAGCACTCAGATTCCCAACCCTTCACACCATCCATGGTGTCCTTTCACCCATATACCTTAAAAACATGGGACAGTGGAGGCCCAGTTCCCCAGACCATTGCTCTTCCCAGCACCAATTGCACACAGCTCTCTGTACATCTCTGTGTTCTGGAAGCTACCTTTGCTGCTCACTGCAGTTCTGGGAAGAGACTTCATAGGTCTCAAAGGAACAGACGAGCAGTCTTCCAAGAGACACTGAGGCAGTGAATATCTGCTCACAGGGAATTATGCCCACCTTGTATCTCCCACTGCACCTTGAATCTCTCCTTCCCATCCAGGCAATTCTCTTGACATGCTAAATATTTTCTACCCAAGGCTCCATTTGACAGAGCTCTATCTTAAAATACAATTACAAAACAATCCAGTTCTGCCATTTCCTCCTCTGCACACAGCCACCCAAAGGCTTTTCAAAGAATCACAACTTCAAGAGGATCCTTCATCCTCATAACAGACAGACAGACATCATCAAGGACCACTTGTTGCCTGGTCCAATCCTCTCTTGGGGACTACGACCAAAGCATGGCTGATGCAAACACTTTTCCTGCTGATCTCCACTATGTGTCATGGGGAACAATAAAGTCTGATAACAAGATACAGAAATGCTGAACGCAAAGCCATCAGCATTTTGTTCAAGACACATTCTACTTTTAAAGCACTTGTGCTCTTGGGAAGACACACGAGCCTGCTAAAAAGTTGTATTTCTTAATAACGTGATCCATCCCTTCAGAAGATCTACTACTAAGAGCAAGACAGATTCTACACAGCACAGCTGATACAGGAGAACAATGCCTGGAACCAGATCAACAGCCAAACATCCAACCTAACCAACACTCTGCCAGCAGCAGCCTTCTCCCTCCTTCCTTCTTCACGAAGTGGAAGACTGAAGACCCGCGCAAGGTTCACACAAAGACAGCAATGGGCACCAGCCTTCAGAACTTCAATGAAGGAAACTTGACAATGCTTTTAAACAAAGTCTCCTATGAAACACAGAGAACACGGCGGGGAAAGGGCAGGGCTGCATCGCAAGAAAGGGTCGCGGAGAAAATCTGACCAGAGGAACTCACCGAGGAAGGGGCGGAGTCCGAGGGGAGGGCGCCGGCCGGGTCCCCGTCCCCGAGCAGCGGCGCGGGCTCGTCGGGCGGCGGCCGGGCCGGGAGGGTGTCGCAGCAGCTGGCGGCCGAGAAGCGCAGGTGGCTCTTGCGCGAGTCGGCCGTGAGCGACACGTCGTGCGAGTAGGACTGCAGGAAGGCGCGCACGCCGTCGATGCCCACGAAGTGCGAGACGGGCACGCCGCGCAAGGCGCCGCTGTCCGGCGGCAGCAGCTGCTGGCGGTGGCAGCGGCGCAGGCGCAGCGCCAGCAGCAGCAGCAGGAAGGCCACGAAGAGGCACGAGACGGCGGCCACGGCCAGCACGAGCCAGCGCGTCAGGCTGGCGGCCGGCTCGCCCGGCGCCGCCGCCTCGTGGGCCGCGCTGCCCAGCTCGGCCAGCAGCTCGGCCACGCTCTCGGCCAGCACCACGCTCAGCGTGGCCGTGGCCGACAGCGCCGGCCGCCCGTGGTCCCGCACCAGCACCAGCAGCACGTGGCGCGCCGCGTCGCGGGCCAGCGGCGAGCGCGCCGTGCGCACCTCGCCGCTGTGCAGCCCCACGCGGAACAGCCCCGGCTCCGTGGCCTTGGCCAGCTCGTAGGACAGCCACGCGTTCTGCCCCGCGTCCGCGTCCACCGCCACCACCTTGGCCACCAGCGCGCCGGCCTCGGCCCAGCGCGGCGCCAGCTCCACGCCCGACCACGCCGCAGCAGCGCCCGAGCCCGCCGCTGCGGCCGGCGCCGGGTACAGCACCTGCGGCGCGTTGTCGTTCTCGTCCACGATCAGCAGCCGCACCGACACGTTGCTGCTCAGCGCCGGCGCGCCGCCGTCCTCCGCCCGCACGCACAGCTGCAGCTCGCGCAGCTGCTCGTAGTCCAAGGAGCGCAGCGCGTACAGCGCGCCCGTCTCCGCCTGCACCGACACGTACGACGACAGCGGCGCGCCCCGCACCCGCCCCTCCGCCAGCCGGTAGCGCACGCGCGCGTTCTGCCCCCAGTCCGCGTCCGTGGCGCGCACCGTCAGCACCAGCGCGCCCGCCGCGTTGTTCTCCGCCAGCCGCGCGCTGTAGCGCTCCTCCAAGAACACCGGCGCGTTGTCGTTCACGTCCAGCACCCGCAGCGCCAGCACCGCGCTGCTCTGCAGCGCCGGCGACCCGCCGTCGGCCGCCCGCACCGTCACGTTGTACTCCGACACCTGCTCCCGGTCCAGCTCTCTCGCCGTCACCACACGGTAGTAATCCTCAAAAGACTTCTCCAGCCGGAACGGGACGTCCTTGTCGACAGAGCAGCGCACCTCGCCGTTCACCCCCGAGTCCCGGTCCTGCACGTGCAGCAGAGCTACCACTGTCCCCGAAGGAGCGTCCTCGGAAATCTCACGTAGCGCTGACCGCACAGAAATCTCGGGTGCGTTATCGTTTATGTCAGTGACACTGATCGCGACTTTGGCAGTGTCTAAAAGCTGTCCTCCGTCCCGTGCTTGCAACTCCAGTTCGTAGGAGTCGTCTTCCTCGAAGTCCAGGCTCTGCAACAGAGTGATAGCTCCACTCTCAGAGTCAAGATGGAAAACAGCCGTGTCTGCCTCTTTCTTCAACGAGTATTCAATTTCCCCGTACAGACCTTCGTCGGCGTCCGTGGCCGTGACAGTGACGAGGACAGAGCCCACGGGCACGTCCTCGGGCACACGCACCGTGTACTCCGCCTGGCTGAACACGGGCGCGTTGTCGTTCGCGTCCACCACGGTCACGCGGATCCGAGCCGTGCCCGTCCGTGCCGGATCGCCGCCGTCGCTCGCCCTCAGCACCAGCTCGTGAAACGCCGCCTCCTCCCGGTCCACCGCCTTGGCCAGCACCAGCTCGGGACGCTGATCGCCGCCGGGGCCCGCCTGCACGGCCAGCGAGAAGTGCTCGTCACCGCTCAGCTCGTAGCTCTGCAGCGAATTCCGGCCAGAATCTGGATCGTGAGCCCTTGCGAGGGGAAACCGAGACCCTGGAGCTGTCGTCTCGCTAATCCTCTCCTCAACTTCACTTTCCTTGAAGCTTGGAGCGTTGTCGTTAATATCAGTGATTTCCACTTCGATTCTGTAAACCTGCATCTGTCCCTCCACTATCAGCTCACAGCGCAGCACGCATTGCTGCACACGCTCGCACAGCTGCTCTCTGTCGATCCTCTCCGCCGTCACTAAATGTCCCGTCTTCCCGTGCAGAGCGAAATACTGCGTGCTACCTTCCGAGACAATGCGGACGGCCCGGTCGCTGATCTCCTTCAGCTGCAGCCCCAGGTCCTTGGCCACGTCGCCCACGAACGAGCCCTTGGGCATCTCCTCGGGCACCGAGTAGCGCAGCTGCCCCCACGCCGCCTCCCACGCCGCCAGCAGCACGGCCCAGAGCAGAGCTCGCTGCCGCCGGCCCCAGCGCCTCCCCGCCGCGCACATCTCGCCCGCGGAACCGCCGGCACCGCAGCACCGCCGATCCAATCCCGCTGCCACTCAATGCTCGCACCTCCTGCACCGTGCGCAGCTGACGCTGCCTCCGCCTGGCTCCACAATGGACCAGCACCGCGGGGACGATCGGGGACCGCGCGTTCGGACACGGAGCGAGCAACCCAGTGAGCCGATCCGCAGCGGGCGGGGCTGCCGGTAGCGCTCCGAGCTTCCTCTCGCTCCTCTCGGTCAACAGCGGCGCCCGCAGCCTCCTCCCGGCACTGCAGGCACCGAGCGCTGCCCAGCGCTGCCCGCCCTGCCTTGCTCCATACAGGCCACGGTCGCCACCGAGATGGCGCTTTTCGTCCAGCGCCGATCTCCTGCCTCCGCATTTCTCCAGCCCATCTCTGCTTTCATCCTCCAGGCTATCACCATCGGGAGGAAGGCAGAGGCATTCTGTGGCCGGGGTTCTTTAACCGCACGGGAAACCCATCCCTTATTTGTGTCATTATGGAAATAATGTCCATATGTAAATTAAAACTAATTTTTCGTATTTCACCCTGTAGCTTATTCTTAAGGTTACCCTTTTTGTTCAAAGACATCTTACACAACAGCCACGCAGAGATAAAACGGGAAGATACCAAAACCTATAGAAACAGCCATCAGGATCTTTAACACAAGTGGGACGAGATCAATTGCATGCTTCTTGAAGTCAGGGAGCCTATTGGTACAGGATTCAATTAAAAGTACAAATAAAGATGCAGCTGAAACTCTCAGGGGAATCTTTCAGGACTGGAAATACTTGATGTCCTTTCCTAAGATACGCCCAGTGTTTCCTTACTTTATGCAGGTTTACAGTTATTCAAGTCATTCTAGCTTTCCTTTTTTTTTCTAAATCAATGTGCGAAGCACTGAAGCTCGTTAGTAAACTAATCATCTAAATACTTCTTAATGACGTTGATATGATATGTGCTCAAGAAAACAATCATGGAACTGGAGAAAAAAAAGTACAAGTCTTGAATCTGCGCTGACCACTAATCCATGTGCAAATGGGCTTTACTCAAGTGCCTAAACCCTCCTCTGGCCAATCTCCCTCATATGGGATCCCTTAATATCTCAGATGTTTATCCTAATAAACAGAATTGCAAAGTTTTGCTGGTCTCGAGATATTTGAGATCTGCTAACACCCCCAACATCGTTGTGAGATAGAAAAATAACAATCTCTGAAACAGAAATCTTTCAGCACTCTCACCAGTGTATGAAATAAAGATCATGAAGAGCAAAACAGAGCGAACTGCCAGCCAAGACGCATAAACGAAGCCATCTGGACCCACTACTGCATTCCTGCCAAAACGAGCGACAATCTCTTCCTTCACTCAGAAAAAAGAGTGAAAGGAACTTTCCACATTCCATTCCTTTCTAAATCTAACCGCGGAAAAAAATAAGGAACGGTTTTGGGTAAAGCTATACACGAGTTCCAAGCACATCATTCCGAACAAATCAGTCAGGAAAGAAATATCTCCAACACCAGAGACCACTGCTCTCTTCTTTTATCCTCAACCCCGTCATGCAGAATCAGCCATTCTTGTTCCACAAAATACGAATCTGCTTTCAGTGTTGCTAACATATTCAAATTTATGGAGCACAAGTGTTGAAGACAAAACCTTGCGCCTGAAGTTGAACCTGTGACGAAGGAAGAGCCAAGGGCTTCCTGCTCGCCATGAACGGGGATAGCCCGTTCCTTAACTCAGTCCGTCACGGAGACAGGATTGTGCTGCTCACATAAACACAACTCCGAGAAACAAGGAGAAACACAGAGAAACGCTGCTAGTAGCCGAAACGAGAGCTATCATCAAAACCTGTAAGCAGAAGCTGTTACAGAGAAAAAATTAAAAACTTCCGACGTTACTTGGAGATACAGATGAAGAATCCCCACTGACACCACGCAGAGAACACGCGGAAAACAACGATGACATTCCGGGAACTTTTAGAAACAGAAGCTCACGCTTTACAGACCTGTGGTGCATCGGGATTGGCGGGCGGCTCTCCCTCGACGAGGTCAGTGCTCGGGCTCGGTTTGTCGCAGGAATCGCCGCCCAGAAGCTCCTCCGCCGACAGCATGGGCACCGGCGGCGGCGGCCAAGCGGCCTCGGGCAGGGCGCGGGCGGGCGGCGGCACGCACAGGTTGTAGGAGTAGGGCAAGGTGCCCTCGCAGAAGTCGGCCGGGAAGGCGGCGCCGGCCAGCGAGAAGCGCTGCGCGCCCAGGCAGCGCAGCACGGCGGGCGGCCCGGCCCGGCGCAGCCGCGCCAGCACGGCCAGCGCCACGCTCAGCACCAAGAGCGCCGAGAGCAGCGCCAGCGCCAGCACCAGGTAGAACTGCAGCTCGGCCGCCGCCGCCGCCGCCTCGGCGCCCGCCGGCCGCTCGCTCAGCTCCGGCAGCGCCTCCTGCAAGCTCTCGGCCAGCACCACGTGCAGCGTGGCCGTGGCCGACAGCGCCGGCTGCCCGTGGTCCTTCACCACGGCCACCAGCCGCTGCTTGGCCGCGTCCCGCTCGCCCACGGCGCGCGCCGTGCGCACCTCGCCGCTGTGCAGCCCCACGCGGAACAGCGCCGGCTCCGACGCCTGCACCAGCTCGTACGACAGCCACGCGTTGCGCCCCGCGTCCGCGTCCACCGCCACCACCTTGGCCACCAGGTAGCCGGCCTCGGCCGAGCGCGGAACCACCTCGAAAGGCGCCGCCGCCGCCGCCCCTCCCGGACCCTCTCCCGCCGCCGCCGGCCCCGCCGCGGGCCAGAGCACCCTGGGCGCGTTGTCGTTGCGGTCCAGCACGAAGACGAGCACCGTGGCCGTGGAGCTGCGCGCCGGCGAGCCGCCGTCCTGCGCCCGCACGGCCACCGTGAACTCGCGGCACTGCTCGTAGTCCAAGGAGCGCTGCGCGTACAGCGCGCCGCTCCGCGCCTCCACCGACACCAGCGGCGCCGCGCCCGCCGCGCCCGCGCTGCCGCCCGCCAGCCAGTAGCTCACGCGCCCGTTGGCGCCCGCGTCCGCGTCCCGCGCCTGCACGCGCAGCACCAGCGCGCCCGCCGCGTTGTTCTCCGCCACGTACGCGCTGTACGCCGCCTCCTCGAACACCGGCGCGTTGTCGTTCACGTCCGACACCTCCAGCACCAGCTCCCTGCTGCTCCACAGCGCCGGCCTGCCCCGGTCCCGGGCCACCACCGTCACGCGCTGCTCCGACGCCTGCTCGCGGTCCAGCGCGCCCGATGTCACCACCTTGTACGAGCCGCCCGACGACGCCACGATCGACAGCGGCGCCTCTCCCGACAGCGAGCACGACACCTGACCGTTCTCGCCGGAGTCCGGGTCGTTTACATTCAGCAGGGCTACCACGGTGCCGACTGCTGCGTCTTCAGGCACTGGGCTCGACAGTGATAGAATCGTGATCTCGGGTGCGTTGTCGTTCTCGTCTATGACGTCTATTTGCACCTTGCAGTGTGATACCAAACCCCCACCATCCCTCGCCTCCACGCTGAATATGTATTTGCTCTTCTCCTCGAAATCGAGGGCACCCGCCGTCTTGACCTCCCCAGTTTCCCTATCGACAGCAAACAATGCACTGATAGCGTCAGGGACGTTGCCAAACGAGTAGGACACCTGCCCGTTGGTGCCCGCGTCTGCATCCGTCGCCTGAACCTGCAGTACCACTGATCCCGCTGGCAAATTCTCTGACACTCGCGCTTCGTAGAGGCTTTTGCTAAATACGGGCGGGTTGTCATTTAAATCCGTCACATTGATATGAACCTGGACAGTCCCAGACCTCGCGGGGTCCCCGCCATCGACCGCGAGCAGCACCAGATCAAAGGAACTCTGCTTCTCCCGGTCCAAAGCTCTGTCAAGCACCAATTCTGGCTGATTGCTTCCGTCGGGGCTCTCTTTTAAGGCCAGGGAGAAGGACGGGTTGCTGGTAAGATGGTACGTCAGCAGCGAATTCCTTCCAACGTCAGGGTCTCGTGCCGTCTCAAGGGGAAATCGAGCACCGGGAAGCGTCCATTCACCAATCTCCAGGTCCAGAGCAGCCTTCCTGAAGGCCGGGGAATTGTCATTTACGTCCTCGATCGACACCTCGACGTGGAAAATGTTCAGCGGGTTCTGAACGAGCGCCTCGAAGCTGACGGAGCAGGTCGCCGACTCGCCGCACATCTCCTCCCGGTCCAGCCTCTCGTTCACGTACAGGTTCCCGTTCTCCTCATTCACAGTGAAGTATTTCACCTGCTTCTTGCCGGCAGACGCCACCTGCAGCTTGCGCGCCGGCAGCTCGTCCGCGCTGAGCCCCAGGTCCCGCGCCAGCGGCCCCACGAGCGAGCCTCTGCCCAGCTCCTCGGGGATGGCGTAGCGGAGCCGCTCGCCCGCCGCCCGGCACCACACGCACAGCAGCAGCAGCAGCAGCGCGGCCAGCAGCGCTCGCCCGCCGCCCGGCCCGCGCCTCTGCCGCCTCTGCCTCACCGCCATTCTCTGCCCACTGCGCTCGCCGCGCTCCTGCCGACTGCCGCTGCCCTGCCTCCCTTCCAGCCGCTCTCGCCGCCCAAAACAGACACCGCTCAAACACACCCAGCTCGCCGCGCCGCCTCTCGCCGCCTCTCGCCGCCTCTCGCCGCCTCTCGCCGCCGCTGCTGCTGCTGGCGGTGCCGCTGCCGCTGTGGCCGGCGCCGGCCGAGCGAGCAGCCTGCGGGGGCAGGACGCTGCGGCGGCGGCGGCTCCAGCGCCGCTCGGCGCCGGCCAACAGCGACACCCGGAGGCGCCGCCGCGACACTGCAGCCGCCGCATGCCCGCGCTCAACGGGGCCCGGCTTTGGCCGGGGCTCAGCGCCTGCACCGGCCCCGGGGGCTCTCCCCGACTGCAAACACCCACAGCAGCAGCTCTGCCTTAATTCCACTCCAAGCCCTTTCTATCTGACATGTGCTGGCCGGTGCTTTCAGGCCATTCTTTTCAGTCACATTGAACACTCAGAAGCAAATATTCATTGCAGGGCAGTAAAGAATGGAATTCAGCTGCTCTTAATAAAAAGACGGCCAGTCTACAGCAGCAATAAAGGATAATATAGGGAAGACTTCAAGAGCTTTTTCTCACTTTGTCACATGAATTGTTATTCATTATATTCTTCATTTATTGAGATGAATTAGTTGGAGATATAGATCAGCCTAAAGCAATGTCAGCAAACCCTATCCCAACATAGCAGAATTACATTTACTCCTTTCCTTCTGACTCATTAAAGTTGCCTCATTTATATTTGCATATCTGTGTGCCAAACAATGGAGAGCGCAAAGCAACGCTGAGTCCTTCGTAGAGTCAAACAATATTTTCAGTTCCCAAGTTAAACTTTCTCTAAAGGCAAATTAATCCACACAACCGACATGAAAAGTAACACTTTCTGCTAGACTTGAATGTTGGAGGCATGTCCAAAACTTCTTCGGTTAATGCCTTCTCTTTTATCACAACCCACAGTGAAAAGCTTTCTCCTAATCAAATCCATCCTTCTCTTAGTTAAAAACACTTGTTGGCAGCTCTACAACAGCTGGCCCAGGTAAACAAAGCTCTGTCCATAATTCCTATAAACTTATTCATAAACTGACACAGCAAAAACAAACGTTGAAAGGTCTACACAGACCTATGATTTCTCTGTGTTTGAAGACACAAACTACTGCAGTCCTTCATCATAACAGAAATGTTCCAACCCTCAGGCCACTTCCATGATCCTTCTGGGAACTCTGGCATGTCCAGTGGGATATTGGCCCAAGATCCCCATGCAGTCCATGCTCTCATATAAAGAGTTCAGAGGGGAGGAGGGACCACCCTCGACCTGCCAGGCAGAGAGCTTGTCATGCAGTGCAGGACAAAATTCCAGCAGCAGGTGCCCATGGGCAGCTCATGTCCCACCTCATCACCCACCAATAGCCCAAAGCACTTCTCTGCAAAGCTCTTCCCTATCCCCCACTCTCTCTTTCAACTGGGGATTGCCCCACCCCAGCTTCAGGACCTTGCACTTTGATCCATTCCATGATGGCTGCACGGGGCCACTTCTCCAGCCCATCCCTGGCTGCCATCTCTGCCCTGCACTGAATCAACTCCAATTGTGTCAGCTGCAAATTGCCTGAAGGTGCCTCAATCCCATTGGCCATGCAGGTGCTGAACAGACCTGGGCCCAGTCAGGGCCCTTGAGGGACAGCACAAGTCCCTGCTTTGCACCTGGACATGGAGCCACTGCCTGTAACTCTCTGCAGGTGACTCTCCAGCCTGTTCCTCAGCCATTTGACAGCCTCCAGCTGATTGCCCAGCATGTTCCTCTGGGGGATGGCCTGGGGGACACTGCACACCTTCTCCCACTGGGCCCTGCTCTGTCCATGGAAACCTTGCCTGGGCTGCCTGCTCACTCTGCCCTTGGACAGCTGCAGCACAGATGATCCTGCATGATTACACTACAGACAAAAGGTTCCTGGCTGAGCACACCAGGAGTGCTTGTCAAACCCTTCCTCTGTGCAGCTGGAAACATCACAGCTGGGTGTGGCAACTGCACCTGCACTGGGGCAGCTGGCACACAGGAGACCTTCCACATGAGATCAGACACCCTGAGGCTGAGCTCATGACCACAAGCAATGCAAGACTCAGAAACACATGGAAATGGACGGATGCAATGACATTTTGTGGGTCTGCCTTGCTCTACAGAACCAACTCAGATCCCACTGCACTCCAGCAGGCACAGCCTGGTGTTATCTGTGACATGTGACCAGCAAGGCAATGACCCAGTTCTTCTCTAGCCTCACACACAGAGCTCCCCTCTCTGCTTTTTCTTCCACGCCAGGCCACTGTGAGGTTTTGCTGGTGGCCATCTCCTCACTGCTCACATCTCTCATGAGATAATGCACTGCAGCCACACCCAGAAGGGAGCTACAATTGTCTGCTCACCACCATTATGATAAGGAACTGAAGGATTCTAGAGCACACAAATGATAAACAATCATACTAAAAGATCAGCAGTCATCCAAAGCAGAATAGCTCATCGCACCATTGGCTTAGGGGGAATCTCCTGCCCACCTTTATCACATGCTCTGTTCCACAGAGAGGCAAAGTCTACTAAAGTCATATTTACATCTATTTCTCCCGACAGGAACAGAACACAAAATCACTCTCATATCTCCTGCCTTCCACTCCCACTGCAACAAGAGCAGGGGACATTGGCACATGATATGTTATGAAACAAAGACGGATTGTTGATAATAGTATGTATACCCCAATACTGAGTAAATCAAGTGAAAACAAAACAAAGCAAAAAACCAGCAGAAAACCTGTAAACATGAATCAGATAAGGCAGGGAAGCATTAGAAGAAAACAAAGAGAAAGAGATACTCACAGTGAAGTCTTCCAGGCCTTGTTTGCAGGCCTTTAAATTCATACCTGAGAGCACCTGGAAGTTACTGAGGTCTCAAGGGGCAAGTGTGGCTCTCAAGACTCACACAGCACAGCAGGATAGGGGGGTTCATTTGAACAATGAGTCCTCTCCTCATCAACTCTTTCTATTGCATGGCCTGCTCACCTGGCACAGGTAGGAAACCACCATTTTAAACAACTTCTCATTGGCCTCTTTCTCAAGGTAAATCTTCTACAAATCACAACAGATTCTCTTATTGCTTCTGCTTCCTATTCCCCACACACACTCTTTAGTTCTAAGTGGCTGAAAAAAGGACATCCTGAAAAACATCAGACACTGTTTCATATTTCAAAGTAATGACCAGAACTGGGGAAATGAGCTGCAGCCTTCAGGGAAACAAAGGCCTGAGTGGAAGTGTAATTACAATTCTGAAGAAACTCTAAATCACAATGTGGCCTAGAGATACAGATAATGGCGGTTTCACACAGGATTAATTACCTCTTCCAGCCAACAATCATGGTTCTACATAAACAGTTACTGTGCAAAATGTTATTGTTAGAAGACTGTAATTATCTTTCATGACAGAGAAACCAGGATCAGAACAGCAAGGGCACTGCCTTTCGCACCAAGCATGAACTCAAACCATTTCTCTGCCAAACCCACACTGAGTCCCCCATTTGCCCAGCAGGGAACTGAGCTCTCACCCTCCTCACTCTGCATTCACAGCCTTTACTTTCACCATCAACACAAACCACAATTTTAATTCCATGTAGGCCACAGAGAAAGCAAGAGCTTGGGGAAACATCCATTCATGAAGTTGTATTTCTTGAATGAAATATTCAAGGTCAGGCTGGCTGGGGCTCTGAGCCACCTGCTCTGGTGGAAGATGTCCCTGCCCATGGCAGAGGACCTGGAACAAGAGGATCTTTAAGGTCCTTTGCAACACAAACCATTCTATGATTCTCTGTTTCTAGGATTCTTTGACTATATGTACAGCTTCAAAGGATGCATGAGAGATAATCTCCCTACTCGAGGATCATATGTTGTGGAGTTTTCAGGATTTCCAGGCACAATGAGAATCAAATTTACCCCTTAATAAAAATACAAGCAAACCAACAAACAGCCCAACACAAACCAAAGCAAACAAATCATCAAAAAAAAAAAAAACCAAAAAAACCCAAAACAACAAACAAACCAACCCTGAAATCAACCCAGCCAAGAATGGGAAACACCACAAGAGTATCAATCATGGCCTCACATTGCAGATTGGCTCAACTGCAGTATATACACAACCCAGGAAACTGGACTGGAACCAATACACAGGGGCCTCACACAGGAGTCACTCCACAGGCCCCACACTGTCATTGCCTTGGACACAAAGAGAAAGGAAAAGCTTGGAACCACAGCTGGGGCATCATCTAAATACCAGGACAAACAGAACTGGACACAATTCATTCATTCATTTTGAACTGTATCCCACTGAACTCCAGCACCAGCCCTGTCTCTGCACACACAGACTTCTTCTCGCCGGCCAAAAATAATATAACAGCAAGTTTTCCATACAGACATCATTAGAAGAAAACTCATGTGCACAGCTTCTCAGAGCCCAAATATCACAACTAACATTATTCTGCTCCTCCATATTACTTCAACAAGCGGGAAATGTTACACAGGCCACAAATTATTTCCAGCTCTGTCAAAGACCCACACATCCAAGTATCACCTCAAAGGCAACATCACCATTCTTCAGCACATGGACTCCTCAAAGCACGTGTGACTACCACTCTTGATGCAAAGGAATATGGAACCCAAACTGGGCCATTTCAGTCCAAACCACACAACTCAAAATCATAAGACTCCTCCTGACTCATTCTCAGAAGACCAGCAATAGCCCTTGGGATCCACAAAACTCTTCACAAACCACACACCCAACACTCCCACATAAACCCGTCACAGCTCCCATGGTTAGCAGAGACCTGCAGAATTTAGAGAGACTCCACCAAGAGGAAAGTTGATCAGACAGTATCTACTTACCATGGATAATATTTGATTTCACATCCCAGACATGGCACAAGAAAAAGCATTTATTAAAGAGACAATTTCAAGACACATCTCCAAGGAAGTCCCTCCCTTTTCACCTCTAACCATGAAAGAACCATCTTCAGATCATCAGAAGAATGAAACAGAATGTTAACACCTGCAGAAATGAAGAGCTCACAATATTTTTCTGGGTTATATAACTCAGAGTAGATGACTGATGATGTTGTTTATAGGCACTAAATACACAGCTTGCAATTCCCATACCCCATCTGTCAAAATACAAAATTAAGCTTTGAAGTGACACCATTATGATGACAAACAAATACATATTAAGAACCTGTCAAGGTTCTCCATGAAGCAGGAATACAGATCTTCTAAACAATTACTTTGCGGCAAAGAACTCCACATTCCTTCATGCTAGAGATAGAAAATAGACAGGGAATGGAGGAAAACATTTCCTTGAGTCTTTCAGCAGACATCCACACACAGCTCACAGCACTCAGATTTCCAACCCTTCACACCATCCATGGGGTCCTTTCACCCATATACCTTACAAACATGGGACAGTGGAGGCCCAGTTCCCCAGACCATTGCTCTTCCCAGCACCAATTGCACACAGCTCTCTGTACATCTCCGTGCTGTGCAAGCTACCTTTGCTGCTCACTGCAGTTCTGGGAAGAGACTTCACAGGTCTCAAAGGAAAAGCCGAGCAGTCTTCCAAGAGACACTGAGGCAGTGAATATCTGCTCACAGGGAATTATGCCCACCTTGTATCTCCCACTGCACCTTGAATCTCTCCTTCCCATCCAGGCAATTCTCTTGTCATACTAAATATTTTACAGGTAAGGCTCATCCAGCTCCATTTGACAGAGCTCTACCTTAAAAAACAAGAAAACAACCAAAGCAGTTCTGTCATTTCCTCCTGCATTTCCTCCTCGACATGCAGCCACCCACAGACTTTTCAAAGAATCACAACTTCAAGAGGATTCTTCATCTTCAAAGCAGGTAGACAGGCATCACCAAGGACCTCTTGTTGCCTGGTCCAATCCTCTCTTGGGGACAAAGAACAAAGCATGAATGATACAAACACTTTTCCGGCTGACCTTCACTATGTATCATGGAGATCGATAAAGGCTGATAACAACATACAGAGAGGTTCCACATGAAGCCATCAGCATTTTGTTCAAGACACATTCTAACTCTTAAAACACACGTGCTCTTGGGAAGACACACGAGCCTGCTAAAATGTTGTATTCTTAATAACGTGATCCATCCCTTCAGAAGAGCAAATACTATCAGGAACACAGATTCTACACAGCACAGCTGAGAGAGGGGAACAATACCTGGATCCTGATCGATACCCAAATCCCCGACCTAAGCATCAGCCTGCCAGCAGCAGCCTTCTCCCTCCTTCCTTCTTCACGAACTGGAAGGCTGAGGACCCACCCCATGTTCACATAGTGACAGCAATGGGCACGAGTCTTCAAAACTTCACCAAAGGAAACTTTACCATGCTGTTGGACAAAGTCTCCTAGGCAAGCAAGAGAACACGGCGGGGAAAGGGCAGGGCTGAATCACAAGAAAGCGTCATGGAGAAAATGTGACCAGAGAAACTCACCGAGGAAGGGGCGGGGTCCGAGGGGAGGGCGCCGGCCGGGTCCCCGTCCCCGAGCAGCGGCGCGGGCTCGTCGGGCGGCGGCCGGGCCGGGAGGGTGTCGCAGCAGCTGGCGGCCGAGAAGCGCAGGTGGCTCTTGCGCGAGTCGGCCGTGAGCGACACGTCGTGCGAGTAGGACTGCAGGAAGGCGCGCACGCCGTCGATGCCCACGAAGTGCGAGACGGGCACGCCGCGCAAGGCGCCGCTGTCCGGCGGCAGCAGCTGCTGGCGGTGGCAGCGGCGCAGGCGCAGCGCCAGCAGCAGCAGCAGGAAGGCCACGAAGAGGCACGAGACGGCGGCCACGGCCAGCACGAGCCAGGGCGTCAGGCTGGCGGCCGGCTCGCCCGGCGCCGCCGCCTCGTGGGCCGCGCTGCCCAGCTCGGCCAGCAGCTCGGCCACGCTCTCGGCCAGCACCACGCTCAGCGTGGCCGTGGCCGACAGCGCCGGCCGCCCGTGGTCCCGCACCAGCACCAGCAGCACGTGGCGCGCCGCGTCGCGGGCCAGCGGCGAGCGCGCCGTGCGCACCTCGCCGCTGTGCAGCCCCACGCGGAACAGCCCCGGCTCCGTGGCCTTGGCCAGCTCGTAGGACAGCCACGCGTTCTGCCCCGCGTCCGCGTCCACCGCCACCACCTTGGCCACCAGCGCGCCGGCCTCGGCCCAGCGCGGCGCCAGCTCCACGCCCGACCACGCCGCAGCAGCGCCCGAGCCCGCCGCTGCGGCCGGCGCCGGGTACAGCACCTGCGGCGCGTTGTCGTTCTCGTCCACGATCAGCAGCCGCACCGACACGTTGCTGCTCAGCGCCGGCGCGCCGCCGTCCTCCGCCCGCACGCACAGCTGCAGCTCGCGCAGCTGCTCGTAGTCCAAGGAGCGCAGCGCGTACAGCGCGCCCGTCTCCGCCTGCACCGACACGTACGACGACAGCGGCGCGCCCCGCACCCGCCCCTCCGCCAGCCGGTAGCGCACGCGCGCGTTCTGCCCCCAGTCCGCGTCCGTGGCGCGCACCGTCAGCACCAGCGCGCCCGCCGCGTTGTTCTCCGCCAGCCGCGCGCTGTAGCGCTCCTCCAAGAACACCGGCGCGTTGTCGTTCACGTCCAGCACCCGCAGCGCCAGCACCGCGCTGCTCTGCAGCGCCGGCGACCCGCCGTCGGCCGCTCGCACCGTCACGTTGTACTCCGACACCTGCTCCCTGTCCAGTTCTCTCGCTGTCACCACACGGTAGTAATCTTCATAGGATTTCTCTAGCCGGAACGGGGCGTCCCCATCGAGTGAGCAGCGAACCTCGCCGTTGGCCCCTGAGTCATGGTCCTCCACGTGGAGCAGGGCGACCACCGTCCCTGACGGCGCATCCTCAGAGATCTCGCTTAGCGCCGACGACACTGTGAGTACAGGGGCGTTGTCGTTCACATCCGTTACGGTAACTATAACTTTGGCAGTGTCGGAAAGAGCTCCGCCATCATGTGCCTGCACCTCCAGTTCGTAGGAATTGCCCTCCTCGTAGTCCAGGCTCCCTAACAGAGTGACCGCTCCTATCTCAGCATCGAGCTGGAAAATCTGCGAGGCTTTCCCTGTGATTTTCTTCAGCAAATATTTCACATGACCATTCGGCCCCTCGTCGGCGTCCGTGGCCGTGACGGTGACGAGAACAGAGCCCACAGGCACGTCCTCGGGCACACGCACCGTGTACTCCGCCTGGCTGAACACGGGCGCGTTGTCGTTCGCGTCCAGCACCGTCACGCGGATCCGAGCCGTGCCCGTCCGTGCCGGATCGCCGCCGTCGCTCGCCCTCAGCACCAGCTCGTGAAACGCCGCCTCCTCCCGGTCCACCGCCTTGGCCAGCACCAGCTCGGGACGCTGATCGCCGCCGGGGTCCGCCTGCACGGCCAGCGAGAAGTGCTCGTCACCGCTCAGCTCGTAGCTCTGCAGCGAATTCCGGCCCGAGTCCGGGTCGTGAGCCTCGGCCAGGGCAAACCGCGATCCGGGGGCTGTCATCTCGCTCATTCTCAGCTCTGTCTCAGCCTCTCTGAAGCTGGGGGCGTTGTCGTTAATGTCCGTGATTTCCACTTGGATCCCATAAACCTGCATCTCTCCCTCCACTATCAGTTCACAGCGCAGCACGCATTGCTGCACTCGCTCGCACAGCTGCTCTCTGTCGATCCTCTCTGCTGTCACTAAATGTCCCGTCTTCCCGTGAAGAGCGAAATACTGCGTCCTACCTTTGTCCAAGATATGAACGCCGCGATCTCGGATCTCCGTCAGCTGCAGCCCCAGGTCCTTGGCCACGTCGCCCACGAACGAGCCCTTGGGCATCTCCTCGGGCACCGAGTAGCGCAGCTGCCCCCACGCCGCCTCCCACGCCGCCAGCAGCACGGCCCAGAGCAGAGCTCGCTGCCGCCGGCCCCAGCGCCTCCCCGCCGCGCACATCTCGCCCGCGGCGGCTCCTCGCTGCCTCTTGCTGCTCTGGTACCCGCGCTTGCTGTGGTTTCCTACAGGACTCTCCGCTCACCGGCCCCTGTCGTAGTCTCTTTCTCCTCCCCTCCTGCACGGATCCGCACTGTGAGGACGATCGCAGATCGCCGGGCTTCCGAACCAGAAATCCGGCGAGCGAGTGATCGAGCGGGTCCGCAGCGGGCGGGGCTGCCGGCAGCGCTCCGAGCTTCCTCTCGCTCCTCTCGGTCAACAGCGGCGCCCGCAGCCTCCTCCCGGCACTGCAGGCACCGAGCGCTGCCCAGCGCTGCCCGCCCTGCCTTGCTCCATACAGGCCACGGTCGCCACCGAGATGGCGCCTTTCGTCCAGCGCCGATCTCCTGCCTCCGCATTTCTCCAGCCCATCTCTGCTTTCATCCTCCAGGCTATCACCATCGGGAGGAAGGCAGAGGCATTCTGTGGCCGGAGTTCTCTAACAGCACGGGTAACTCATCACTTACTAGTGTAAATTTAAAAAATATTTTTTGTATTTTACCCTGGAGCTTATTGTTACTCTTATCCTTTTTTTTTCAAAAACATATTGAACAACAGCCTCCCATACAGATAACGGGAAAATATCATATCCCAAACACACAGATCTATCAGGTTCTTTAACACAAGTGAGACGAGAGCAATTGCATGCTTCTTGAAATATGAGAGCTAATTGTAACAGGACTGAATTACAAGTACAAATAAAGATGCAGCTAAAACTCTCAAAGGAAATTTCCTGAACATAAAATATTTGTCATCCCTTCCTAAGATACACCTACTGTTTCTTTAGTTTATTCACATTAAATTCATTCAAGTCATTCAATGTTTCCTTTTTTTCTGAAATCCACGTGTAAGTAGTTCGTTAGTAAACCATTCATCTAAAATCCTCCTCTGCCAATCTCCCTGATATGGGATCCCTTCGTATCTCATATGTCTGCCCTACCAAACAGAATTGCAAAAGTTTGCTGTTCTCGATATATTTGAGATATACTAAAAGCCCCAACATCGTTTTGAGAAGAGGATACAAAAATAACAATCTCTGAAACAGAAATCTTTCAGCATTCTCACCAGTGTACGGAATCAAAAAGTTGCAGAGCAAAAGAGAGTGAACTGCCAGCCAGGATGCATAAATGAAGCCATCTAGCCTCACTACTGCATTCCCCCCAAAACCGGTGACAAACTCTTTTTCACTCATAATGGAACTTTCCCCGTTCGTTTCCTTTCTAAATCTAACCGGGACAAAACAAAGTTGAACGAACGTGTAAAGCTATACACGAGTTCCAAGCACACCCATTCTGAACAAATCTGTCAGGAAGGATAAAAGCTCCAACACCAGGGGAGAGGGATCTCGATTTTTTGCTCGACTCCATCCTTCAGAACCAAACGTTCTCCTTCCACAGAATACAAAACTGCTTTCAATGTTACTAACACATTCTAATTTAGCGAGCTCGAGTGTTGAAGACAAAATCTCGTGGCGGAACCTGAACCTGTGACCAAGGAAGAACCAAGGGCTCCGTGCTTGCTATGACAGGGAGGTAGCCCGTTCCTTACCTCAGTCCATCACGGAGACAGGATTGTGCAACTCACATAAACACAACTCCGGGAAACAAAGAGAAACACTGAAAAGTGCTACTACTAGCCGAAAGAAGAGCTACAGTCAGAGCCTGTCATCTAAAGCTGCTACCGAGAAAAAAATTACAAATTTCCGCTGCTACATGAGATGACAGATGACGAATACCCACTGACACCAGACAAAAAAAAAAACACGTGGGGAAAAAAAGATGACGTTTCGGGAATTTCTAAAAAAAGAAGAAGCTCAGGCTTTACAGACCTGCGGTGCGTCGGGTTCGGCCAGTGGCTGTCCCGTCACGGCGGTACTGCTCAGGCTCGGCTTCGCGCAGGAATCGCCGCCCAGAAGCTCCTCCGCCGACAGCATGGGCACCGGCGGCGGCGGCGGCCAAGCGGCCTCGGGCAGGGCGCGGGCGGGCGGCGGCACGCACAGGTTGTAGGAGTAGGGCAAGGTGCCCTCGCAGAAGTCGGCCGGGAAGGCGGCGCCGGCCAGCGAGAAGCGCTGCGCGCCCAGGCAGCGCAGCACGGCGGGCGGCCCGGCCCGGCGCAGCCGCGCCAGCACGGCCAGCGCCACGCTCAGCACCAAGAGCGCCGAGAGCAGCGCCAGCGCCAGCACCAGGTAGAACTGCAGCTCGGCCGCCGCCGCCGCCGCCGCCTCGGCGCCCGCCGGCCGCTCGCTCAGCTCTGGCAGCGCCTCCTGCAAGCTCTCGGCCAGCACCACGTGCAGCGTGGCCGTGGCCGACAGCGCCGGCTGCCCGTGGTCCTTCACCACGGCCACCAGCCGCTGCTTGGCCGCGTCCCGCTCGCCCACGGCGCGCGCCGTGCGCACCTCGCCGCTGTGCAGCCCCACGCGGAACAGCGCCGGCTCCGACGCCTGCACCAGCTCGTAGGACAGCCACGCGTTGCGCCCCGCGTCCGCGTCCACCGCCACCACCTTGGCCACCAGGTAGCCGGCCTCGGCCGAGCGCGGAACCACCTCGAAAGGCGCCGCCGCCGCCGCCCCTCCCGGACCCTCTCCCGCCGCCGCCGCCGCCGCCGCGGGCCAGAGCACCCTGGGCGCGTTGTCGTTGCGGTCCAGCACGAAGACGCGCACCGTGGCCGTGGAGCTGCGCGCCGGCGAGCCGCCGTCCTGCGCCCGCACGGCCACTGTGAACTCGCGGCACTGCTCGTAGTCCAAGGAGCGCTGCGCGTACAGCGCGCCGCTCCGCGCCTCCACCGACACCAGCGGCGCCGCGCCCGCCGCGCCCGCGCTGCCGCCCGCCAGCCAGTAGCTCACGCGCCCGTTGGCGCCCGCGTCCGCGTCCCGCGCCTGCACGCGCAGCACCAGCGCGCCCGCCGCGTTGTTCTCCGCCACGTACGCGCTGTACGCCGCCTCCTCGAACACCGGCGCGTTGTCGTTCACGTCCGACACCTCCAGCACCAGCTCCCTGCTGCTCCACAGCGCCGGCCTGCCCCGGTCCCGGGCCACCACCGTCACGCGCTGCTCCGACGCCTGCTCGCGGTCCAGCGCGCCCGATGTCACCACCTTGTACGAGCCGCCCGACGACGCCACGATCGACAGCGGCGCCTCTCCCGACAGCGAGCACGACACCTCACCGTTCTCGCCGGAGTCCGGGTCGTTCACGTTCAGAACGGAAACCACTGTGCCGACTGGCGCGTCTTCAGGCACTGGGCTCGACAGTGACAGAATCATGATCTCGGGTGCGTTGTCGTTCTCGTCTATGACGTCTATTTGCACCTTGCAGTGTGATACCAAACCCCCACCATCCCTCGCCTCCACGCCGAATGTGTATTTGCTCTTCTCCTCGAAATCGAGGGCACCCGCCGTCCTGACTTCTCCAGTTTCCCTATCGACAGCAAACAATGTACTGATAGCGTCAGGGACGTTGCCAAACGAGTAGGACACCTGCCCGTTGGTGCCCGCGTCTGCATCCATCGCCTGTACCTGAAGTACCAGTGACCCCGCTGGCAAATTCTCTGACACTCCCGCTTCGTAGAGGCTTTTGCTAAATACGGGCGGGTTGTCGTTGGCGTCTGTCACGTTGATAAGAACCTGGACAGTCCCAGACCTCGCGGGGTCCCCGCCATCGACCGCCATCAACACGAGATCAAAAGAGCTCTGCTTCTCCCGGTCCAACGCTCTCTCCAGCACCAATTCTGGCTGCGTGCTTCCGTCGGGGCTCTCTTTTAAGGCCAGGGAGAAGGACGGGTTGCTGCTGAGCTGGTAAGTCAGCTGGGAGTTACTTCCCACATCAGCATCTCGTGCCGTCTCCAAAGGAAACCGAGAACCGGGAAGAGTCCATTCACCAATTTCGACATCCAGAGCAGCCTTCCTGAAGGCCGGGGAATTGTCATTAACATCCTCGATCACTACCTCGACGTGGAAAACGTTCAGCGGGTTGTGCACCAGCACCTCGAAGCTGACGGAGCAGGTCGCCGACTCGCCGCACATCTCCTCCCGGTCCAGCCTCTCGTTCACGTACAGGTTCCCGTTCTCCTCATTCACTGTGAAGTATTTCAGCTGCTTCTTGCCGGCAGACGCCACCTGCAGCTTGCGCGCCGGCAGCTCGTCCGCGCTGAGCCCCAGGTCCCGCGCCAGCGGCCCCACGAGCGAGCCTCTGCCCAGCTCCTCGGGGATGGCGTAGCGGAGCCGCTCGCCCGCCGCCCGGCACCACACGCACAGCAGCAGCAGCAGCAGCGCGGCCAGCAGCGCTCGCCCGCCGCCCGGCCCGCGCCTCTGCCGCCTCTGCCTCACCGCCATTCTCTGCCCACTGCGCTCGCCGCGCTCCTGCCGACTGCCGCTGCCCTGCCTCCCTTCCAGCCGCTCTCGCCGCCCAAAACAGACACCGCTCAAACACACCCAGCTCGCCGCGCCGCCTCTCGCCGCCTCTCGCCGCCGCTGCTGCTGCCGCTGTGGCCGGTGCCGCTGCCGCTGTGGCCGGCGCCGGCCGAGCGAGCAGCCTGCGGGGGCAGGACGCTGCGGCGGCGGCGGCGGCGGCTCCAGCGCCGCTCGGCGCCGGCCAACAGCGACACCCGGAGGCGCCGCCGCGACACTGCAGCCGCCGCATGCCCGCGCTCAACGGGGCCCGGCTTTGGCCGGGGCTCAGCGCCTGCACCGGCCCCGGGGGCTCTCCCCGACTGCAAACACCCACAGCAGCAGCTCTGGCTTAACCACAAACAGGAACCCTTATGATTACAGCAGCAATATCCGTGTGAGACCGATCTATTTATTTCTAGCTGCAATAGACACGGAAACAAGTATTACACCTTATCAAAGATTTTCTTCACTCCTTGGTTTGAAATGGCATGAAAATCAGAAACCAAATATGTGTTCCCAAAGTACAAATTGGTTGTCTCATGCACAGTCAAGGAACTGAAGCCAAAATCTGAAAAGATGATTGCTGAGATGTTTTACAATTTAATTGTTCCAGTGGTACCTGAGATATTCTTTGCCCATCACCTGTGCAAAACCAGTACAAATCAAAAGAACATTTTTACAGTGAATAACACTTGCAGAGAAATGTGAAGCCCAGAAGCAATGGATCTGCACTCAGATAAATGCCAGTGTACATACATACCTGGCAGAGAATAACAAAGTGCAAAGCACTGCAGACTCTGCCCTGCGTCCATCCTCACACTGACTCCCCTTCCAACCTGAAAACCTTCTGTGCTTTTGGTGGAAACTCAAAAATTAGGCCTGCTACAATTACTGATTTAATATTTCCATTGTTTTGATTTTCCTAACCTCTAGGCAAAAGTCTCAACATCTCCCCAAACCGTTTTAGGACTGCAAAATCAGCTGAATGGTTTTCAATGAATTCTGAAGATTCATATACAATTTCCAAACTTCCATCTGACCTCATCAGAGTGGGGGAGATATTTCAGTGCTGTGATTTTCTGGTGCTTTACCACAACACAGCCTTAAAAATTCTTTCCCAGAACACCTGGAAACTCACTTAGGCCTCAAGGTGCAAGCCAGGCAAGCTGCAGGAATTTTAAAGGACTAGGAGGTCTCTCTGACTGGACTAAATGACTTTACTAAGCAGCAGAACAACAGAAATCCTTGGCACTTATTAAATCAAAGAAGCCAAGCCAAATATCTCCCACTGCCATACATGGGGCAAATCACTGGCCACTGTGACACAGCAGGGCCTGTGCAGTGCAGGAACCCACAGAGAACAGCTCCTACCTGTGTAGACCTCAGAGACACAAGAAGAATCCCCAGGTAAGTGGAATTGGACAGCAGCATTTTACAGCTACCCACTTGAGTTAAGCAGTTTTTTCATTTTCCTCACACACACTGTTCTGTCTTCATTTGGTTCTCAAGGGAAGTTACTATTTCCTGCAAAGCAGCACTCACAAGTGGGAAGGAAACATGAACCATGGCCTTCCAGGAAACAGAGCCTGAATTGAGATCCAAGGTGGAAAATGTAACTACCACTTTCATGAACTCTCTATCAAACTATGCACTTCCCAACTTTTATCAAATGCACAGATCCACAAAGGTGTGACGTCTCCTAAGGTCATTTTTACATCTCTTAACATATGACAAAATTAGAAGACAGATGTACCCCCCTCACATGTCCTCATTCTACATCAGCTGTAATAACATGTCAAGAAAAGAAAACCACTCCAGCAATGCAGGGATGCATTAGGAGTGCATTCAGAGAAACTCACCCAGAGGAAATCTCAGGCCTCTCTGTGGGCAAGGAAATTCATTCCCGACAGCACCTGGAGCCACTGAGGTGTCAGGCTGGAAGTGAGACCTTGAAATCTTGTTCTGGACTGCCAGTGTGACTTCATTTCATTAAACACTCCAGAGCTCTCATCAGCTTTTCTACTATGTGGCCTGCTCATACCCCACAGATTTGAAGGCCTAAGTTTGAAGGCCTAGGTTTGAAGGCCTAAGGTTAGAGGCCTATGTTTCAAGGCCTATGCTTAAAGGCCTGATTTTAAACACCCAAGTTTAAAGGCCTATGTTAGGCCTATGTTTGAAGGCCTATGTTTGAAGGCCTGTGTTTGAAGGCCTGTGTTTGAAGGCCTGTGTTTGAAGGCCCGTGTTTGAAGGCCTATGTTTAAAGGCCTATGTTTGAAGGCCTATGTTTGAAGGCCTAAGTTAAAGCCTATATTTGAAGGCTTATGTTTAAAGGTGTAAGTTTGAAGGCCGAACTTGTGTCAGCTTTAACAAGTACATAAGACACATATCGAATATCTAGAGGTAAGGCACTGCAAGAAATTCCTTTGGAGAAAAAACAAAGAAAAATGCACACAACCATAACTATGTGATCCATATAACAGCTAGGGAAAACTGAATATTTATACCAACCCTTTAGATATTTCAGCAACTCTTCCACCAGCCCTGTCTCTGCACTGGCACAATGCTCAGACATCACCCAACAGGGACCCCTTTGCAGACAGACACCATTGGAAGAAATTTTCCACACAACTTCTCCTTATGGAGAGCAGGGATCACAACACAGGTCCACACATATGGACTCTGCTCATCACTGATATTTGAAGAAATGTAAAATGTCTAAACAGTCATAACCAATATGCAGCTCAGTTAAAGACTCAGATCAGGATCAATACATAGATGTCATCATTCTTCCTAAACACTTGGACAGTTTTGGATATATGCCACTTGGGAACCATTCATGTGAAGTCTATGTCCACATCCAAGAGCTACCACTCACAGGGAAGAGCTGTATCAGACATGGCAGAGGATAAAATGAGTGACTTTCTGGCACGTGCTCCAAATAAAAACTCCAAACCTGGACTTTCCTGGTAAATTAGACTCACCCATCCCTACAATCCTACCAATTTCAATTAAAAAAAAAACAACAAACAAAACAAAACATCAGCAGTAACATCAACAAGCAAGAGCCATTAATAACATCTGAAGGTTTTCTCAAAGCTTGGAAAAACTTAGTACAAACACAGTGAAACTCTACAACACAGCTTTAACAATGACACACTGCTGGGGAAATGACATTTCCCACAGCATTTCTTAGACACAGAAGGCCTGAAGCATGCACTGCCCTGGGCATTGCTTGCAGACAAATTCATTGGAGGATTGCCATCCTTTTCTGGACACAGGAAAAGGGCACTTGGTGTAAGTGGCACAGGCCTTGGCACACCCAAATCATAGAACCCCGCTCTGCCTGCTGAGGGGCCAGTCTCTCCCTGGGAGCAATCTCTCCCTGACTGTTCACCATGAGGATGTTACAAGTAAGATCAGTGACTCCAGAGATGTTTACAGATAGAGTTTCAGACACACACAGGCCCATCTCTACCTGCTCATGACAAACAAGTCAACAGTTCAACTATCATTCACAGAGAGCACACCATTATAGAAAAGCAAGCTTATGAATCCACAGCTTGGCCATTTATAATCTGAGCATACTCACTTTATGTAGTCCAGCAATGGACCATGGAAGTTAAAAAAAACACCTGCTCTCTCTCCAACAGTGCTTCCCCACACACTGCACCTGCAAGAGTCTCCTGAATCTCGTTACAGATTGTTGGTTCTCTCTGATCTTTACCATTAGCAGAGGAACTCCACTGCAAGAAAAGTTTCAGAGACAACTTACCATTGCTAATATTTGACTTCGTAATGTGTGCAAGTGAGAAATAAGACAATTGCTCCCATTAAAAATTTAAGGAAACACATCTATGAATGTCTTTCCCTGATGAGTTGTGAAAATAAAAGGCATGTATGAGACAAATGTAAGGGATGTGATCAGATACTACCAGATACAAAGGCCCATTTAAGATCAGTACAAAGAACAAGACAAGAAGATAACATCTGCAGAAATGTAGGGCTCAAACTAATGTAGATTACAGCTTTTGGAGAAAATACATAATCTAGGTATTAAAAGTAGGGATGTAATGAATTTCCTTATTGCAAAGCCCAAATTGTGACATTTCAGATTGGAATATATAGGGCTATTAATGAAATATATTGGCTATACATTAAATATATTACAATACATTATTTACATTACAATAACCTGTAAACACACCTATTCTCAAAAGAACTACATTATTCTCTGTTAACCCACACATATTTGGGATAGAGAAAATTGCATTACATTATACTACAGATCAACACTGAAAACTTATCTTTCATCTTATCATCTCATCTTATCTTTTCTCTTAACAGTCTTTCACACACAGAGCCCACTATTTGCATCTCCTGCCTCTAAGATCTTGCATGTTCTGTCTCGACCTTGATCCTTTGAAAGCAGTTTCCATCAAAATACCAGATATTCAGAGGGTTTCCCTTCAACATGCACCAGGATAACCTATAGGCTTCAAACAGGTATCTTTACACCTCTTTACTACAAGTGGAGAAATATTGGTCTGCCAAATGCATCTCAGAGGAAAAGCAGGAAGGAGGTGGAACAGTACCTGTCTGTCAAAAGATACTGAGGCAGCGAGGATCATACGATACAGAAACAACTTCCTTTAAAAAACTCTCCAGCCAAGAGAAGTCTCCTTTATCATGCATCCCTCAAACACAGGAAAGCCAAGACCCGACCCCATGTCCATCGTGGTGTAGCAATAAGCCACGCGATTAGCACGTCCCTAAAAGATACTTTGCCTTCCATGTCAGCAAACAGGACTCCGAAAAGAGTAGAGAAGCAATATAAGAAGGAATAGCGGATAGAAATTGGTATGGGAACTCACCGGGACGGAGGCGGGATCCGAGGGGAGGGCGCCGGCCGGGTCCCCGTCGCCGAGCAGCGGCGCGGGCTCGTC